CTGCACAAAGAGAGCAGACATGCAAGTACCATGTACTAGGCTGCCCATACACATGATCTTGCTATAAACATCCACGCTCTTGCACAACAATCAAGATTCAGTATCTATTTAACCAAATTAATGTCCTTATTTAAAAGGCGGGGGGGGGAATGCTGTGGCATTCTGATAGGTTAGCTACTTTCAAACTCTCTTCATTCAAGAAATATTGTCTACTTCAACCTGTCTACTATTTGAGTTGTAGAAGATATTATGGCACCTAGTATGTTATACAGCCAGTTCACATGGAGCAATGGTCAGCTCTGCTTGAACAGAAATTATGACCCAGAACACTGTAAACAGTCCCCTACTTATTAGGGGGCTGGAGCACCTTCCCTATAAGGAAAGGATGAAGAGTCTGGGACTTTTCAGTTTAGAAAAGAGATGACTAAGGGGGGGACGGACGTGATAAAGGTCTATAAAATTATTCATGACCAAGAGAAATTTTTCTCCCTCTCCCAAAATATCAAAACTCAAGGGCATCTAATGAAACTGTTGGGCAGGAGGCTCAGGACGGACAAAAGGAAATACTACTTTACACAGAGAGTGAGTAAAATGTGGAATTTGCTGTCACAGGATACAGTGATGGCCAATGGAATAAACAGCTTTAAAAGGAGATTAGATAGAGTCCTGGAGGATAAGTCTATTAATGGCTACTAGCCATGGTGGCTGAGAGAAACCTCCACATTCAAAGGCACTAAGCCTCTGAATCCCAGAGCCAGGAGCAGGGGTCATTTCGTAGAAAAAGAGGTGCAGGAGCTCATTAGCATAACTCATTTGCATATGCCACACCCCCTGACATCACCGGAAATGTGTCAAAAGGCAACACCCACCGCTCAGGCTCCACTAGACTGTTTTGGATTGCTAGCTATTGGGGTTTTTTTTTGTTGTGGGTGTGCGAGCAGTTGGGGGGGGGGGGACGTGCAGATCTGTCCTTGCAGAGGGGGGAGAGCTTGTACCTGTATACAACTTGGTCTTAAAGGTGCCACTGGACTGTTTTGGATTGCTAGCTATGGGGGGGGGCGGACGTGCAGATCTGTCCTCACAGAGGAGGGAGAGTTTGTACCTGAATAAAACTTGGTCTTAAAGGTGCCACTGGACTGTTTTGGATTGCTAGCTATTGGGGGGGGGGGCGTGCAGATCTGCCCTCACAGAGAGAGAGCTTGTACCTGAAGGTGGTTCTGCAACTTACCTGGCTGCTTCTTGCTCTGAGGGCTGCTGGGAGCAGGGGGCGGGGCTTGTTGCATGTGCCCGCCCCCTGGGCTCTTTACTGCCGGAGCGCCGCTCCTGTGCGCTCCCGCAGAAAATGACCCCTGGCCCAGGAGACAACATCAGGGGAAGGCTTTGGCCTCTATACCCTGTTGTTGGCTGTCCAGAGGAACTGGCTGGTCACTGTGTAAGACACAATGCTGGACTAGATAGACTACTGGTCTGATCCAGCAGGACTCTTCTTCTGTTCAGATCCCCATTGCAGAAAGTCAGCAGTAGTAGGTAAGTAGTCTTTTGGGCAAGCTTGTCCATGAGGGTTGGCCCTAGTTAGTATTTGGATGGGAGATAACCAAGGAAGACGAGGATCTTTACAAAGAGGCAGGCATAGAGTCTCTTGCCTTGAAAAACCTATAGTGTCACCACAAGCCAGCTATGACTTGACGGCTAAAAAAAAGGTCCACTCCAAATGGACCACTTACCTTGGTGTATGGTCATATCCATCCAGCCAAAGCCTTCTTGCTGAAAACCATTCATATCGTCTGTGAAAGGATATCCAGCCTGCTGGGCTGCATCCAGGAATGCAAGGTGAAGAGGGTTGTTAGTCTTCCCCCTAGACACATGGAGTGGGCCATTCCCACCTCGATAAAGATCAGCACCCAGCTCATGAGTTTGTGCTTTCTTAAAATAAGGCAAACAAAATTCATAATCCCATCCAACAGCTCCTTCTTTACTCCACCTGTTATAATCTTCTGCGTGGCCCCGAATATATACCATAGCATTGAGGGATGAAGAACCACCCCAGACTCTTCCTCTGGGCCAGTACATAATTCGATTATCCATGTGTTTTTGTGGGATTGTATGGTAATACCAGTTATATTTGTCATCACAGAGATTGTAGGTCAACGCAGCAGGCATGTGAATCTTCCACATTAACCGTTTACTGTCAAAGAGTACATCTCTTGGCCCTGCTTCTAGAAGTTTAACAGTGCTGTCAGGATCTTCAGTCAGTCGGTTGGCTAATACGCATCCAGCAGATCCAGCTCCAACAATTATGTAAGTAAAACAGTCCACGTTCCTTGAACTATCTTGAGAAAATGCTTGAGTCATTTTCAAATTCTGGACACTGAAGACTTTTTTCAGCATATCTGCTTTAATTAATAATCCCCTTATTCCACGCATTTGCTTTGAAAAACAACAGGCCTGAACTCCACTAAGTAAATACGACATCTTTTCCTACGTGTACTCCTGGCATAAACAAGACAGGGTCAAAAGCTAGAAAAGATGAAAAAGGGCTGTGAGTAAAATTTATTATAGCATATCATCTGCAATAGATCTAAAGAAATTAAATAAATGTAAAAAAGGTAAAGGTAAAGGTTCCCTTGCTCGAAAGCCAGTCGAATCCGACTCTAGGGTTGCGGTGCTCATCTCCGTTTCAAAGCCGAAGAGCCAGCGCTGTCTGAAGACATTTCCGTGGTCATGTGGCTGGCATGACTAAACACCAAGGCGCATGAAATGCTGTTACCCTCCCACTGAAGAGGTACCTATTTATCTACTTGCAATTTCTTGCTTTCGAACTGCTAGGTTGGCAGGAGCTGGAACTAGAGACGGGAGCTCACTCCGTCATGCGGCACACTCGGGTCTCGAACTGCTGAACTACTGACCTTCCACAGCCTGCAGTTCAGCGTCTTAACCACTTGAACCACCGCAGCTCCTTAAATAAATGTATGAGGGATCATATTTATCTTTAATTCCTGTAGAGTATGACTGAAGTTCCAGGGCTGGGCTGTCTCGATAAAAGTAAGAATGGCCTGTATCTATCCACATTTAGGAAAACTTGAGGGCACTTAAGTTTCCTTAAGAAAGGGTAGTGACGTCCCTCTCATTGCAGACCCCCACTATGTAGTTCCTGAGGGTGCCCTAACCCCCAGGAACAAAATCTGGATGAGGCTGAGTTGCAAAAAGAAGGAACCAGCAAAAATTACTGGTCTCTCTTGACAACTAAACCACACACAGATTTTTAAATTATGTGCAAATTATTCACACTCACAAACTGTTCCAAAATCTTATTCCGCCCCCCCCCCCCAGAATTCTTCAGATTAAACATACTTGACTCCTTTACTATTGACCCATGCAGGGTACTTTTATAGATCTCTCTGCATGAGTCATTACATGCATGACTGCAAACTGTTTTTATTTTGTGGACCACAATTATTCTGAAATAAAGTATAATCTGACCTTCATGCACTGCAGAGAAATGTTGGGTTTGAGAGAACAGAGAATCCCTATACCTCCCACCTCTTTCTGGGCACCCACCACGATGACTTGAGAGTGCCCAAACTCCCCTGGCAAACCGGGGAGAAAGAACACCATGCCACTCCCCCCAAAAAAAAAAGACTTCCAGAAAGATTTTGATAAAGTTCTTCATCAAAGGCTCCTAAGTAAGCTCAATAGTCACGGGATAAAAGGACAAGTCCTTTTGTGGATCAAAAACTGCATAATTAATAGGAAACAGAGAGTGAGTATAAATGGGCAATTTTCTCAGTGGAGGGTGGTAAGTAGTGGGGTACCGCAGGGATCAGTACTCGGTCTGATGCTTTTTAACTTGTTTATTAATGATTTGGAGTTGGGAGTAAGCAGTGAAGTGGCTTAATTTGCAGATGACACAAAGTTGTTCAGGGTGGTGAGAACCAGGGAGGACTGTGAGGTACTCCAAAGGGATCTGTCGAGGATGGTTGAAATATATGCAGATTTATGATCTTTTTAGACCCTGCCTTCCTCTTCAAACAGGGACACAAAAATAAAATAAATACAAAACCAAGCAAACAGGAGGTTGCAAGGCAGATCCTCATCTTTCTCTCTTTCTCATGGTTTTCCCTTCACAGGAAATTCTGTATTTATTATTATTAATTGTATATTATAATAATTATTAATTTAATATTATTAATTTTTCATCTCAAAGGAGCTCAGAATGGTTGCACATGGATCTCCATTTTATCCTCCCAACAATTCTGTGATACACGTTAGGCTCAGAATGACTGGTCCAAGGTCACCCAGTAAGTTTCATTGCAACACTCCCTGTTTAGTTCCAAACTCTTAACTACTTCATCGTCTTAAAAAGGGACTGGAGACTGCAACACTGTGAGAAAATACAGGATTTCTGATTGAGAAGTCTCAGCATTCTCACAAATCTATAGCTTCCTGATTTCCCTAGATGAATATAATATTTTCAGTTTGCATCTCCTAACTGAAAAAAACCAGCAAAAAAGCATTTGGTATTAATTACATAAACATCCCATCCATGATATCACATACAGAAGACTTCATGGCTTTGGACCCTCATATCTGCCACCTTTCCCCCCTACGCTCTGCCACTACAGCTACACTCATTCAAGCAGGGTCTTCGGCTGGTGCCAACCTGGAAATGGACAAAATCAATAACTGCCTGTACATGTGCCTTTTCCTTCCGTTGTGGCTCCCATCTTGTGGAACATCCTGCCTGAGGTCAGGAAGGCTCCCACTCTCATGGCTTCCTGTGAATTATGCAAAACTGAAATTATTCAAGCGGGCTTTTCTACACAGGCAATAGACTTGCACTGTATAAATGATTCAAAGTTACTCAGAAACATTATTAGGGTCTGTGGTCTATACTACTATGCACAGCTTGTTGGAACTAGGATCCAGCAAAACTGGCAGAGACTGACCAAGAGAGAGATCTTGGAGTCCTAGTAGATAACTCACTGAAAATGTGGAGACAGTGTGCGACTGCAATAAAAAAGGCCAATGCTATGCTGGGGTTTATTAGGAAAGGAACTGAAAACAAATCAGCCAGTATCATAATGCCCCTGTATAAATCAATGGTGCAACCTTATTTGGAATACTGTTTACAGTTCTGATCGCACCTTAAAAAGGATATTATAGTATTGGAAAAAGTGCAGAAAAGGGCAACTAGAATGATAGAAGGGTTGGAACACTTTCCTTATGAAGAAAGGTTAAAGCGCTTGGGGCTCTTCAGCTTGGAAAAATGACGGCTGAGGGGTGACATGATCAAGGTTTAAGATTATGCATGAAATAGAGCAAGTAGAGAAAGAAGTACTTTTCTCCCTTTCTCACAATACAAGAATTCGTGGGCACTCAATGAAATGGCTGAGCAGTCGGGCTAAAACAGATTAAAGGAAGCAGTTCTTCACCCAAAGAGTTATTAACACATGGGCTACAAGCATGGACGGTTTCAAGAGGGAATTAGATAAACATATGGAGCAGAGGTCCATCAGTGGCTATTAGCCACTCTGGGGCAAATGATGCTCTGCATTCTTGGTACTTGGGGGAGCAACAGTGGGAGGGCTTCTAGTGTCCTGGTCCCACTGGTGGACATCCTGATGATGGCACCTGGTATTTTTGGCCACTGTGTGACAGAGTGTTGGACTGGATGGGCCACTGGCCTGATCCAACATTGGCTTCTCTTATGTTTTTATGTAATCCCCATGAAGATTAAAAACTGTAATATTGGGGTAACTAGTGGCTGGCTGTGTATTTAACCCTCACCCCCACATCTTAGCAAATTCCACTCATTCCAAAAGAAAACAATCTATTTCATAAGATGGTTTTTAAAAGGGTTTTCCAAGATTCCCCATGCTTTCCAATGGAAACTGGAAACGGAAAAGTTTTTAAAAGCCTCAGACTTTTTAATGCTACACTCTTTGAGTGAGTAAAAATTGGTCCTAAAAAGTATTTCACTCATTCAATTCAAAAACAAAGTAAAGGGGTTTTGTTTCCCAGTGCCAGTGCAAAATTTCTATCAGAAAAATTGGGACAGGGGGAACCCTCAGAGAAATTTCCCAGTTTTTTCACTGGAAAATGGGGGGAAAGTACTTTCTTTTTTCCTAGGCATTCATCTCTCTAACCTGGATCCCAGGTTTTTTTTAATAATGCTGTCCTTTTGTTTCTGGATCAAAACTGATCTGTTGTTTCATTTAATTTATACCCTGCCTTCCTCTTCAAACAGGGACACAAAAATAAAATAAATACAAAACCAAGCAAACAGGAGGTTGCAAGGCAGATCCTCATCTTTCTCTCTTTCTCATGGTTTTCCCTTCACAGGAAATTCTGTATTTATTATTATTAATTGTATATTATAATAATTATTAATTTAATATTATTAATTTTTCATCTCAAAGGAGCTCAGAATGGTTGCACATGGATCTTTCGGTTTGCATCTCCTAACTGAAAAAAGCAGCAAAAAAGCATTTGGTATTAATTACATAAACATCCCATCCATGATATCACATACAGAGGACTTCATGGCTTTCGACCCTCATATCTGCCACCTTTCTTCCTATGCTCTGCCACTACAGCTATGCTCATTCAAGCAGGGTCTTCTGCTGGTGCCAACCTGGAAACGGACAAAATCAATAACTGCCTGCACATGTGCCTTTTCCTTCCGTTGTGGCTCCCATTTTGTGAAACATCCTGCCTGAGATCAGGAAGGCTCCCTGAGGTCAGGAAGGCTCCCACTCTCATGGCTTCCTGTGAATTATGCAAAACTGAAATTATTCAAGCGGGCTTTTCTACACAGGCAATAGACTTGCACTGTATAAATGATTCAAAGTTACTCAGAAACATTATTAGGGTCTGTGGTCTATACTACTATGCACAGCTTGTTGGAACTAGGATCCAGCAATGGAATTCTGCATCATTGAATGTGTCATGTTAATGCTTATGCTTTGTTTCGGTTCTGTTTTTAGGCTTCTGGCTGGTTCTATAACTCTAATTCTCTTGAATTGTTTATTGAATGTCCCATCCATGGATAGTATTGGCTTACTTTGTGTAACCCCCTTGAGTCCAAGTGAGGAAGCGGTACTATAAATAACGTACATTAAAAAAAATAGATATCCAGCGTCCATAGCCTCAGGGCCATTTTCAACATGACTTCTTACTGATATGTGGCAGGGCATGAACTTTTGTGAGTCACTCCTCGCTTCTTCAGATATCAGAAGCTCATTCCCTGCCAAATATTTTGTTAAGTTTTTAAGGTGCTACTGGACTGTTGCTCTTTTCTACTGCAACAGACAGACGAACAGGGCTAGCCATCTTGATCTTACTGTTATGTCACTCAAGAAGATGCAGACACTAACATGAAGTCAGTGTAACTTAAAAGTGATTGGATGGTTTCCCGCTTGTCTTTTTAAAAAGCATTTTCAGAC